AGCAAACGGCTCCGGAGCGTCGCGGTCGCGATTTTCATTTCATTTTAGCCAACCGCGACGCGAACACAACGCATCCACCCATTTCTGTTTTAAAATTTAAAAACTTTGACGAAAATTTTGAATCTAAATTTTCAAGACAATAATTGCTTTAATGTCCGGAAAATGCTCCTAACCTTCAGATTACTTTCAAAAATCAATAGGAAGCTCCATTTGGATTATTCTGACCGCGAGGCGACCGCAGCGTTCCAAACCATTCCAAGTTATAGATTTTCTAGACATGGATGAAGTATATTATTCTCATAACTAACTCGAATGTTTTCATTTCACTTCCTTCTTCTCTGATTAAAAGAGTCACGCCATCCAGTTTCCATGTTCCCTTCATTTTCAATATCCTATTGTCTCCTCTCAAAAAGCTTATCATTTCCGTACAAATGTCCTTTTTGGCCGGAAATCGAATTTCTGATGAGCTAGAGAATTTTGTAGTTAAGAGTGGGCAGACTGACTAATGTTGAAAAACACTGAAATTTTCATGAGAGTACAAATTTTGGAGGTTCAGAGCGCAAGTGAGCTGTTGCCGAAACAAAAATTTCTCTAACCATTTTTTTTTCTAATTTTCGGAGATTGGCTGTGTGCGTTGCGGTCGCGTAAAAATCCGGAAGTCTTGAAGTGACGAAGGTTTTACAAAATCAACTTCGAACATTTTTTTTCTCGAATTTTTGCGATTTTTGAGGCTACTCAAGAATCTAAAAAGCGCGAAAATCGCAGGAAAATTGCGAAAAAAAAACTTTAAAGCCAATTCCACTGTAAATAAATTTTTCCAAATATGCCAACGAGCTAAAAAAAAAAGACGTAAAAATTCCAGACAATCTTCGAATTTCCAAAACACCAAGAAGCAGAGAAATAATTGAAAAGAATAAATTTTTGAATAAATCAAACGTTCCATAAACTGACGAAAAATCATAAAAAAGAAACAAATGGTGCGAAGAATCAAACGAAAGGAAACAATTATCCGTTTCCATTTTCGCATGACTGCTCCTTAAAAATTGGCAAGGATTTTTCGGAACTGAGCTCATGATTTTCAGACAATTCTCCCTTTTCGCAACATTTGAAAATGCACTCATTTGGACTTCCACCATACTTTGCACTTCTTTTCCGATATTTCAAAACGAAGTTCAAAAAATCTATACAATATTTCTTCTTCCAAGAAAGAAAAAAACCACTCTCCGACGTAGAATTTCCCAATCAAGCCAGTGTGAAAAAGACAAGATTTATGGTTGGTCCGTTTGGAAATTGAGCCTATTTTCTCGGTTTAAAATATTGTGGACCTTCTTCATTTCTTTTTGGTGTCGGTTGGATAAGAAGAAAACCTTTTCGATGTTTTCTTTTCAAAAAACTTCAACCCCGGTTTTATTTTCAAAAACTTCCTATTTCATTCGGAAAATTAAAAGACCATTATGAAGATTATTGGTCTTTTTTTTCTCCCTGGTCGCATCTGGAATGGATTGAAGCTTAGAGAATGTGAGGCGGTCAAAAAGTTCTTCAAATGTATGAAAAAAAAGAGAGAAAAGATTTTAGTTGAAAGCCTGACAGACTTGAGATGAACAGACTACAAGTGCCAGATCTGAGACATCAGCTTTTTAAACAATCTCTCAACTTAGCTGTCTTTGAATCCTGAAAGAAGTCGGCAAGAGTCGGACGCGGCCGAAAAATCGCTACTGTGATTTTTTTTTTCGGTTTTTCTAATTTTTTCTGACACTCTCTCAACCTCTAGTCGACTTGTAGGGCGCAGCCGAAAAACTCGAAAGTCTGAATTGGAACTTCTAAAATAAGCTTAATAGACTACACTTTTGACCTTCTCTGAACTTCTAGTTTTTCTTTTATTTTCAAACTAATTTCTGCAGAAAAATCTCTCACACTTCCTAAAAAAAAACGATTCTTTTGCGCGATTGCGTGGGTGCCTCTGTGTGTGTGTGAAATGCTCGAAATTTTAATGTCAGCCAAAAAAGGAATGTGGGCGGAGCTTGGCCGATGGTGGCTCCGCCTCCTGCGGCTCCCACATTTTTGCTCTCATTGTTTCGCTGGTGGTGCCGACGGCGACATGAGCTTTTTTTCCTAGGCACTGGTTACTACCGTAATCCTTTTGATTCAGAAAGCTTTTTTGATTGATTTTTAGTTTTACATTCTAAATTTTGTTTGAAAACGTGCCAATCTTCATATTTTCAAGTTCATCTATCCCTGAAGACTTGAAGGTTTCAAAAAGTTTGCCACCATGCATTCCGGAAGCTCAAAAGTCGAGTTGAATAATTCATCCGATGAAAATATTTCCGAAAAGAGCTAAGTTCAGGTACCGCTTGATTCTTAAGCTTACTCATTCAAAGCTTTGTCAATTCGCTGAAGTGGTATTTCAAGTTGTTTGGTTTTCCTTTGCCTGAAAGGTACTCAGAAAAATATTTCAAATAAATGTTTAAATTTAAAAAAATGGCTCTAAGAGAAAAATTACATATGTTTTCTGGTTTTCCATTTCTTAGGTGACTTCTCTAGGCTTTTCTGTCGCAAAGCAGGCTTTTTTGAATCATTTTTGATTACTGAGGTGTGAATGCTCAAAAAATGTTGAAAAAAGATTTTAAAACCTTTACAAAACTACTTCATAGATGTAGTGATCCCTCAAAGACACTTTCTTCGAAATCATTTTTTGAATATTGAGAAAAAAACAACCGCATCGATATCACAACACATTTCAAGCCATTCTAGATGCGCCCAGTGTTTTTGCAACCTCTTAGAATGACGTAATGTTTATTATTTTAAACTTGCTCGGTTAATTCATAAGCTTCTCCGAAAGGAAAAAAGATCTCCCATCGTGGGAGAATTTTCAAAAAGCTTTCTCATCCTCGTGAGAATCTTCATATTATCTCAAAATTTTTGGAAAATCTTTATTTAAGATTAAGCAGAAGATATCGAATAACAGCGACAAACTAGAAAGGGCGTTGGACCGTTTCCAGTCGGGACACGCAATCTCATGAATTAATTAATTAAAGCGGGTTCAAGAGATGAGAATCAAGGGTTCACTTTTTATTTCTAGTTCCTCAAAAAATCTTCAAAAGTCCCGTGTTGTGTTCCGACTTGGAACGGTTTCATCACGCGACGGTGACGTCATAGTTCATAAATATAACGTTTAGCAATCGGATCCGTAATACACTTTTTTTCCTGTCTATATTTTTTTCCATTAAAAAAATGAAATTTGAGCCGCGCACTGGCCTGAAATTGACACATTTCCCACCACTCGAAGCATTCTTTGATCAGTTTCTTAGCTTAATAATTCATTATTTGAAGCGTAGATCATTACTCAACTCGCGTAAATAACCTCGAATTTTTTGAAGGACAAGAAATCTTTTAAATTACATTTGGGTACAGGAGCTTTAAATTTGAATGAAAATTACCTTCATTTTCAGAACCTTCAAATTTAAGAACTTTTGCGGATCTTTCCAGCATTTTTATTACTAAAAACCATACTCAAGCCGATTTTGAAGGCTTAAAAAACGAATAAGTTTGCTTGTTATTTTAAAATTGCTCAGTTATACAGGAGGTCCTCAAAAAAAGAAATTTAAAAAGTTCCCATCATAGATAAGTCCCAGAAATCTTTATCATCACTAACACTTTTAGGAGCTCTGCATTGATCACTACAGTGACCATCAAAAACTCAAAACTCTCAAGTGGTCCCTTGATCGCCTCAAAACTCTTGTGCGTGTAATTGAATTGAAACGTTACGTTGCCCATTTTCCCATTTCTTGGCCTCTTACTCTCGACACAAAAGCATCGCTTTTGATGCCAATAAAAACGAGGCAAAAAGGCGCCCTAAAGAAATGAAGGGAGGTTCTCTTTTTCTCCATTTCTTCCAAGAAACGTGTGCCGTGCAGGAAAAAAGAGCCATTTGTCGCCGCCACTCACAAGATTACTTCTTTTTCGTCGCCCTGCCCTGTCTTGTATGGAAGAAAAATGAGGCTTTTTCCTCCTCATGTCATGTGAAAATTAACCAGAAGAAAAAAGAAGCTGTGCTGTCTTTTTTACCTAGTTCTTGCGATTTTGTATTAAGTTGATTGGAAATGAAGGAAGTTAGGAAGAAATTACTGAGTTAGGATATTCGAGAAGTTTTCTGGTCGCATAGTGAATGGCTTAAAATGCGTCGCGGTCGTACAGTGACTCCAATCAAAAACTATGAAAAATTTTTCAAAAAAACAAAAAAATTCTCAGTTAGAAAAATTCTCCACGCAGAGGCCTCTCATGATCACTAGGACCACCACGAGAGTCTAATATGATTTCCAAAGCTCTCAAGACTGATAAGCACTTCTAATGCGTCGAAAAGAAGCTTCTAGACGTCAGTAGCAATTAGTGGCCACTTAAAACGTTCAAGATCACTTCCTGAGTCTTTTTTGAACTTCAAGTGATCACGTTCCGGATGAAGGAAAAGTTCTGAAAAAATAGTGCCTAACCTAAATGACTTAAAAAAATGAAAAAAATTATTAAAAAAATTTCGTAGACGATTTATTTTTGGCTTTTTCACTAATCATTTGAAGCCGAAATGTTTCCATAATTTTTTTGTTTCAGTTGATTTCAGTTAATTCTCTGAAGCTCAAAAAGATGATGAATATTCCTCTCGCCTACACTTTTTGCCTTTCTAAATTGAGGCAATTTAGTTGAACTTATTCCTTTTTCTCTTTTTTTGCAATTACCGCTTGTAAAATATTTCTATCTGGTATTTCATCCACTTTTAAAAAAAAAACAGAGAAAGTTACGAGAAGCTAGAGACTTTGCGGAAAGAAGAGAAGATCGGGTACAAAATATTTCAACGATGTGTCTGAATTCTCCCGTTAGGCGATTCTCCCTAGCTCCATACCTGAACTTTGTTTCAAAATTATTAGTTTTTGCCGAAAATTTCTCGTTTATTATAATTTTCGTCGTGTTTTTGAATTTTGAAATTAATAAAAGCTCTTTTTTTTTGAAGGATGCAACGATTCTTGATCGCGATCGTCTTCTCGCTTTTGGTCACCCTGTGCGCAGCACAACAAAACTTCAACCCCGAGGAAGCATACGTTCTTGATGAGGTATTTTGAAGATTATACTATTCAAATGAAAGTTTGGTGGAGAAAAAAATTGAGCCGGGAACCGTTTAAAAAAAAATGCGTTTTCGTCTTAAAGCACAGAAAGAGTAAATTACAGCTTTCTAAAAGTTTGATTCGATTGATATCCAGAATATTCATTTAAACTGACAGTATTTGAGCTACAGATATTAATTTGTCAAAACTGAAAAAGAAGAAGACAAAAAAAAAGAGGAACTTCAAGAAAACGACTTTTAAAGAGCAAAACTCACACAAAGTACCAACCTTTAAGAACTCGTTCATTTTATGCACATGAGTTTGAAAAATTGTCTTCCAGCTCTAATATGTGTGAAACTCAAGAAAAAAATCGATTGGAAGATTTTGAATGAATTTAGATACTTTTTCCAAATCATTTCGATTCAGCATAAAATTTCGAGCACGTTCAAATTTAAGAAAAATTTAGTAAAGAAATCTTGAATCTCAAAAAACTCATTAGAAAACAAAATTTATAATTGTCAAATCGCCCATGATTTTAAACAAGCTTTTCATTGTTCAAATGATGAAGCTCAACAAAAATTGTTCTCAAGACCACCAATATTTGACCTTTCAGAGACATTTTCAAATTCACTAGTTCCTTACACATTCATGACTTCCAGAGCTAGTTTTCGAGCCCCTAAAAGGTAACAATTTGAGGATAACTTTCTTTGAAGGCACTTGAATAAAATAAGGACTTGAAAGGGCCATTTTTCAACTTGTTGAGTTGAATTTACGTTTATCAGCTTTCAAGCATAAAAAAAAGAAAAAAAAACTGGATTTTTAAATATCAGTTTTCCAGCTCTGGAGGGTTGAGAAATAGCTTTTAAAGATTGACTTCGAAACTCTTTGATGTGTTATTAAAAAAAGCCTTGCTGAGTGTGTGAAGGAGCCATTTTAATGAAGGTCTCGAAGCGAAGAGCCATTTTCAGTGTCATTTTGAGCAGGATTTTGGGTCTTCAAAAGCGCAAAAGGTTTCGAAAAAAAAAACAAAGTAACCATTTCAAAATGATTTAGCACATTTTTGTGTGCTAAATCAAAAAACTTCTAAAAGTATCTAAAATACAAATTTTTCTATACCAGAGTCTATTCTGTTTTGCCATTTGAATCAAATATTTCACAAAAAAAAAACTTGCATTATATTTCGAAAAATGTCCAAAATTTTGGCGTTTCCTTAACCCGTCGCCCGTCGTAACAAAATAGAACGGCCTCGTGGAAAAGCAAATGAAAAATTAATGCGATTCGAATTTTCCTTGTCTCCCCACGTTCCCTGTTTGTTTGACGTAACTTTTTTTTCGCGGCTCAATGGATGGATGCGAAGCGGGTAATGAAGGAGAAGAAATGAAATTAGCTTTGGTTCAAAAAAATTTTTCGGATGAAAAAAAACTTGTTTTGTTTTGAGCTTCAACCAGAAGCTCGAATTTTGATTTTTGATCAGGAAAAAAGATTTTTGAAGATTTGGTCGCACATGAAATGACTCAGAGCGTAGCGGTTGCTTTGAAAAACGTACGTATCGAAACTACTTGAGCATCAGCATGAAATATATTCGAGCGCTAGAGCCATTTCAAGTGCGACCATGAGTCTGCTCAAAGTAGGAAGAATGAACTGGATATTTAAAAAGTATGATACAAAAGCTACCATCGAAAAAAAAAAATTATCTAGCTTTTACGAATAACTTTCGAATAAATTTTTTTTTTCGCTGACCAGGGAACGTTTTTTACCCCCCGGTTGAACTTTCGCTGAAACTTTGCTTAAGTGTACTTTAGGACCTCCTGATTCCAGAACAAGAAAAAAATTTCTCGCAATAGATCTTGTTTCTGAGTTTTGGAGCTTCAAAGTGTGCAAAATACGCAAATTAGGCCAAAAAAGCGCTATTTCGGGCTTTTGAAGTGTCCTAGCTCGAAAACGAAATCTATTGCGAGAAATTTTTTTCTTGTTATGGAATCAGGAGGTTCTAAAGTACACTTCAGCAAAGTTTCAGCAAAAGTTCAACCGGGGGGTAAAAAACGTTCCCTAGTGAGCCAACTGCTTAAAAGCCTATATATTTTGAATTATGAACATTTTTTCTCTCAGTTTTTAAAATCTGAAGAAATTCTTAAATGACTACAGCTTGTCCAGACACGAAAACGGAGAGAAAAGAAAAATGTATACCACGCCCTTCGTCTCAAAAAATATTTATGAGAATAATATATATTTTCAGGTCGACAAACGATCCCCTAGCGCCAAATGGATGCGTTTTGGAAAGCGATCTCCGAGTGCAAAATGGATGAGGTGAAGAACTAGTCATTTAATCGGAAATAAGAAGATCTTGATCGCGTTTGGAATGGCTCACTCCATGAGAGGCATCGTGTTGAGTCATTCCAAATGCGACCATGAATGTTTCTAAACGAACGCTGAGGATTTCTATGAGTCATTTTAAGAGAATTGTACATTTTAATCTAATGACGTCACTTTTAGGTTCGGGAAGCGGTCTCCGAGCGCGAAATGGATGCGATTCGGCAAGCGATCGGGTTTTGAAGCCGACGAGCTGGAATATTGAGAAAAAGAAAATGCCGACAGATTTAGATCACGAAAAAAAAACGCTTTTTTTCTGTAATTTGTTGTCTACCTAAATTTCTAATTTAATTGTTGAGGAAAAGGAGAAATCGTCAAAAAATGATAACATCAATGATAACATCAAAAAATCAATAAGATCGAGATCGCATCAGTTGCTGGTTCCATATTGGGAGATCACTTTTTTTATAATTAATTATTTTCGTTTTGTACCTCTCACATAAAAATCTTTTTACCCGTGTTTTTTTGCGTGTTTTTTTTTTCTTGGAGCATGAGAAATAATGAAATGATGAAATCAATTGATAACTTTAAAAAAAGCTTCCAACTTCCCTTACTTTTTTTAAGAATGAAGTGAGAAAAAAACTGATGAAGTCATAGCCCTTTAGTGACCATTTTTATCATTCTGCTCGTCTAAAAATATTCGAGAAATCTTTAGTAATCTTAAAAGAACATAGAACTCGAATTATCAGTTTTGAAGCCTAGAGATGATAAGAAGGTCAAATCGATACATTGGCTATAATGTAGCCAGGAAGAGAAAAAATAAACACAGTGAGTTTCATATTTTCCGCTTCTTTCTTTGTTTTCGCTTTTTTCCAAGCTTCTTTGAAAAGTTTGCGTTTTTTTTTGAGAAATGGAAGATTCCAATTAGTTGATTTCTGTAATATTTTCATCATTGCACTAAGTTGCTAAACAATAATTTACATTTTATTAAAAATTACGGATGAAAATCTTAGAAATGCAAAAAAATACATATTAAAAAAATTTTTTTCTCAAAAATTAGCTTTCGATGGCGCGACATTTCAATTTATTTTTTTCTCCATTTTTGTTTTTCTCCATTTTTGCAAATATCAACATGAAAATCAAGGAAATATATCTTTTTGAGCTCAAAAATCCAAAAATGGCCCTCCTAACAACCTTCTACACGAAATTCACACAATGGTACTACACGTCGATGGTCTTAATGAATCTCGTCTGGAAAAGGATTACGGTAGGCGAGGAATACCTGCGTGAGGTCACCTATCCGACACCAGAGTGCCTGAAGGATTGGGATCATCGATACGCTCAGTTGAAGGTTTGCAGTTATAACTTAAGGGTCTATTTTTTCTCTTTCAAGACATTTTTGAAGGGGTTCTAAAAGAGACGCAAAAGTTAAAATTTTAAAGTTAACTTCTGAGGGGCATTTGAAAGTCAAGCTTCTCTATTTCAGAGAGTCAAGCTTCACTATGTCGAAAAAGGACCAGCCGACGGAAAAGTTTTGCTAATGGTGCATGGTTTTCCCGAATTTTGGTACTCGTGGAGGTTTCAACTCGAGCATTTCTCGAAGGAGTACAGGTAGGCGCGGATCGGTTCAGGTCGGGGCAGTGGAAAGTCTACTACTGACCCTATTCATATATAATATTTCAAAAACTTGCAAAAAAGACAGGCTTGGGCGAGGGCCGGCCCGTCAATCTCTCGGTTGCTTTTTTTTAGACGAAAGTCACGTTTTTGCCTATTTTTTCCCTTAAAGTCCAACAAAAACTATGATTTTAAAAGATTCAATCAACTTATTTTCGCAACATCGGGATGGTATGGTGATGTTGCAGGGAGGGAAAAAAGACCACTAGGTGGATTAACTAATCCCACATGTGAAGAAAAAAAGTTTTTTTGTGAGAAAAGAAACATAGAATCATAAAAAAATAAATATTTGAAAGCAAGTTGATTATGGCACAAATTTTGGTGAAAAATTCTTTAATGAATTTTTTTAAATTTTTTTCGAAGGTCGGCTCGGTCCAAGCCCCCGCAGACTCCTTCTCAAAAATGAAGCTCAGAGCCCGGGCCGCCTGGCCTGACTCACAAACTTGAAAAGAAAGAAAGAACGATCTTTTAGCATAAAATCTTCCCGACTTTGTTGGAGTCAAAAAAAACCAATTAATTCGAGAAATTGTCATCGTAAAACATAAATAAAGATTCTAGAGTAAACTTTTAGAAATTTCAGGTGCATAGCCTTAGACATGCGTGGGTACAACGAGTCGGAAAAGCCGCGCGGAGTCGAAAATTACAATTTGAAGTTTTTGGTGGAGGATATTCGAGAGTTTATTGAATTTCTGGGTTGGTTTTATTCTCATTATAACTTTTGGGCATTCAAAAAAGTTTGAATCAGTTTTATCATGAGGAATGATATTTAGGAGTTCAAAATGTTATTTTGGCGGCACACGACTGGGGAGGTATCGTTTCGTGGAGGGTTCGTTAAATTTCTTCAAAAATTAAAAAGATTTTCAGAAAACCTTTTGACATTTTTTTTTTCTGTGATTCCTCTGAGTAAAAATTTCAAGGTGGCGATGCTCCATCCATCTCACATTGAAAGCCTAATAATCTGCAATTGTCCTCACCCGCTGGCCTACAAGAAAGTCTTCATGGAGGACAAAAAACAGCGCGAGAAAAGTTGGTGAGTTGAAAAACTTGCGAGTTTCGAATATTTTCATTAAAATCAGCTTCAAAATCGAGATCGGCCAGAAAAAAAGAAGTAGAACGGGGTAATCTATTCACCTAAATGGCGCAATGGCTAAGTAGCTCGCCTACTAGTACGAAATTTGTTCAGGTTCGAGCCCTTCGCCGGTAAAACTTTTTTGCATTCTTATTTTCGTTATATTTATCGAATATTTAAGGTACATGTTCATGTTTCAAAGTGGAGGAGTCCCAGAGCTTGCGATGCGGGCAAATGGCTACGAAATGCTCGAATCTATGTTCCGCGGAAAGAAGGGCGGTATAAAGAATCGGAAAAATTTCACCGATGAGGATTTACTCGCCTGGAAGTATGTCTTCAGTCAGGAAGGTTTGAAACCTATTCATTCCTACAAAAAAATTGAATCAAGTTTTGGACCTTGAGAAGTTCGAAAAAGGGTCTCAAAACTACATTATCGTCTTCTTTCCAATCAATTAAAAAAAAATATAATCTTTCAGATCTTGCATTCTGAATCTAATCGTAATGATTATCACAAGAATTTCGCGAAAAAGTATAAAACCTATAAATTCAGAAGCCCTGACACCTCCAATAAACTACTATCGTCAACTTCTGGACGCTCCTCACATCTCAAAAACTGATTCGATTGTTCAGGTTTTCTTTCCTTTTTTTTCTCAAACCATAAATGAGCAGACCTTTTTTCAAGAGCGCCATTACCTCCTCCCGAGTCTTCCTAGATAAAAGTCAGTACTACCTCTTAACCGGAACCCTAATCCATTTTTGTCACCACTATTACTTTTCACTTTTCCCTGGGTGTTCAAAACCTTTCAAATATTGAAATTCTAAAACTTACAATCAATCCACCTATTGAGTAGCTTTTTTTGTTGGTAATAAAGAAATAACAACTTACAGCCTCCAGTGCTGATCATTTGGGGGACGGAAGACGCCTTCATCGAGAAACAAACCGCCGAAGATTCAATAAAGGTCAGATATTTCTTTTCATTCGACAATTCGGCTCTGAACTCGTCAAAAAGTTATTTAAAAAAACATTTAATTATCGATCACCTGGTCACAGTCCAATCAATTTTTTTCTAAATGAAAGTTGTTCTTTTAATTTTTCTTCTGTTTAAATTTGACATTAAAAATACGAATTCAAGGAAGAATAAAGCCAGGTTATGACGTCAGAACCATAAGAGTTCCTCTAGAAAATGACGTCATAAAATGAATGGAACTACGAAAAAATAATTTAACAATTAGTAAAAAAAGCTAAAAAAATTGAGTCGAATCAATAAAACTAATTTATGTAGTTTGAATGGAAAAAAATGAGGGAAGCGATGACGTCACCAAAATTCATCGCTTAGTTGACGTCATAAAAAAAGCCCAGCAATTTTTCTTTTTTTACCTATGACGTCATTTTTAGTTCTGCCGTTACGCGCGGCTCCACTGGATAGAAGGCGCTTCGCATTGGGTACAGCAAGACCAACCTGACGTCTTCAATCGCCTCGTCGACGCCTTCCTTCATGATGACGTCATCGTCAGGGCCGCTTCTGATGATGTCTACACGGAGAAGTCTAAAATTTAACAAGGTTCACAAGTTGTTTCCATGCATTTCAAAATGCAAAACGAATTCGAAAATAAATAATAATAATTCAATGTTTTTATTATCACAAATTATGCAAAAAAGAGAAAGTTGAATGTTACACTGGGTGAAGGAAGACTAGAAATTTTAAAAAAGGATCAGAAAAAAAAGTAATGAGAATCATAGATGAGAAGGTGAGGAAAAGGTTCACATTTGGTCCATGATATTATCAAGAAGCGATTTCGCCTTGGCTTCCTCCTCGGGATCAATTTCGTCGCATTTTTTTCGCCGTCTTCCATTGATCGCCTCACCTTTTCCTGTTTTCTGTGCTTTGCTCGCCGGTTTTGGAACCAAACCTGGAAATTTATTCAAGTGCTAAATTAAATGAAAAAAAAATACAGAATTGTATAAAAATCCTATAGTTAACAGGTTTCCAGAAGTAAAAGCTCTTAGAAAAAATTTCTAAATTATAAATAAATCCTACATTAACCAAGTCTATTCAGGTACTAAATGCTTTAAAAGTTATAATAGCTTTCATAGAAGTATTTACAGTGTTAATTGAAGTAAGGCTCCTCGATTGATCCCTGAGAAGTGCCTAAAGTGATCACTTATGAGAGAATATTCATTCAATTATTTTCTTTCCATGGAAAAGAAAAAAAGAGAATGATACCTATAAAAGTTCCTAGAGCGGTCATTTCAGTCTGGACCTTGGGATACCTCAGAAGCATCTATAAGAAATGACTTAGTTCCTTTTCCAGGGATTTCTAAACCATTCTGAAGATCTTCTTCTCAAATAGCCACCCTATTTTTTTCTTTAATTTACCATTTCAACACGAATCTTACAAGCATCAACTTGAATTTTCCATCAAATTTCTTCAGCTTTCTCAGGATGAATCAGAATCTGACTTTTTCCAGGTCTCACCTGAACCCTCGCCTCAGTGAGCTCAATCCTCAGAGCCAGGTCTTCTCTGGTGTAAATGTCAGGATAACGAGTCTCAGCGAAAACTCGCTCAAGTTCCTTCAGCTGACTTGAGGTGAACGTTGTCCGGATCCGCCGCTGCTTTCGCCGTTCCGACGGATTCCCTCCGCCACCTCCCCCACATAAAGCTCCTGAAAATTATCAAATATACCTTTTTTCGGTTTTTTTAATCCAAAAAACTGAGTTGTTATCTGTGTAATCACCTCAGTCTTTGTGTCCATCCCTTGTCTCCTGATTTTTCACCGATGATACTTTTGTGAATGAAATTAATCATTGTTATTAAATCAGTTCAAATCGACTATAAATACAATAGAATGTAGTATTTTCGTATTTAAGGATTTTCTTTTGAAAACTGAAAAATCGAAATTTCAAAGCAGGGACAAATTATCAAAAATAAATAGAAACGTATTGACTCCTCCTCAAGTTCACAACTAACTAGTAAGGCCGCGTCGCAATATGAATGGTTCAAAGCGACGCGGTCGCGCTGCCTTTAGATTTTCATTCTGATATCACAGACCGAGAGCCGTTTTGGGTCAGGCGCCAAATGCGACTATGAGCAAATAGGTTTTTCAATTATAAAATACTTTTCATTGTCGATCCGCCAAAAAAGTTAGCCAAGTGGGGCGCAAAAATTCAGTTTCTCGTGGCCTTCTTTCTCACCTCTCAAATGAAACGTTTTTTTTCTCTATTTTTCCCAAAGAACCACCGCTCAAGCTTTTTTTGTCTCAAAAATGAAATCAACAATCCAATTTTCTTCTCGTCCATTGTTTGCATAACTCGTGACAAATCCGAAAATTCCCATGGCGAACATTTTCTTACGAAAAAAAAAACATACGGTAGCAAACAAAAAAAAGGAGACCCTTTTAATTGAGTTAATCTTGGAAAACTTTTTTCTTTGTTATTTATATTCGTGGCGCTTTTTGAGAGGCTATATTCTATATTCGTACTGTTCGATCTCCGAAAACTCTGAAAAAACAGACCAACTAAGGAAGAGCCAGGGAGTCCGGCAATGACCCCACTTCCATTGCGAGTTATGCTGTCGGAAGTGGCCCCCATCAGCGTTGACTTGTGGTATAACTGATACTGGAGCCCTTTACCAACAATTATCAGCTCGAAAAATAAATTATGTTGATAACCAGTGTTGAAAAAAGCCTGGAGAGGATCATGAGTCGCTGTTTGGCGGTAGGAAGTCGAGGCGGATGAGGAGGAACTGGTCGTGTTTTGACTGGTTTGAAGAGTTCTGAAAAAGTCTAAAACTCATGAAATAATTACTCAAATTAGACCTTTACTGTTTTCAACGCATCAAAATAAGATCGACGAGAAATCTTTTAGAAACTCTAGTTCTAGAAATATTTTTTTTATAAGTGTGGTTAGTGACCTCGTAACATGTGAGGCCGATGACTAATATCAAGTGAAAGGGTATTTTTTTCTCAAAAATAAAAAAAATGGGCTCCTAACTTTCGACTAAAGTAAAAATTAAAACTTTAGTCCTAGGTTAGATTTCAAAGCGCTATCTAAATTCCAAAATTTGAAGCCAACGGCAATTTCTGAAGACCACGATTTTTCCTAACAAAAATGAGCTTCGAACTTTGAAGCTTTTTCACACCATGAAAAAATAAAACAGATAAAGACGAACACGGTCATTTTTATCAACGCAAATACACTCCAACTAACCGATTTCCAGCGGCTGCGGTCAGGTAAGGATTGGCGTAGTGTTGATAAATGTGTGACTGAGCTCCGGTACCGTAACCCTGAGTGGCGACGGCGGCCGTCGAGGTGCCGATGAAGTTGGCGTTGAGTTGGAAGGCGTTGGCGACTGCGCCGTCCGCTTGTTGCGCGAAATACCCACCGTAATCCATCTGGAGAGGAAGTAAGTCATCTACAGTAATCTTAAATTATTAGAAGAGAACTTTACAAACAGACGGTCACTATAATCAAGTAAAAATAAAATAAATTAGCTGTAACAGAATTCTCTTAAATTTCGGTCTATGTGCTAAAAACTTTTGTAACAATTTCCTTTTTTCACGAAAAGGCTGAACTTCAAAAAACTTGGAACCCGAATTTTTACTACGAAAATTTGAACCATATCGGGATATAAGATCACAAAACCACCCTTCTTCGCGTGATTCCTAAAACTGAAATTCAATTACTTTTTTTCCTTTTTTTCATGATATATTTTTCAAAAAAATGTTATTGAAAAACTATTATTTCGACACGAAAAAAATGAAGAAAAACGAAACATTCGATGTTTAGAACCGACAGCTGCTTACGCGCTATCTTGTGCGCCGTCCACTCTCCCAAAGACCGCAGCAGCGTGGCGCAGTGGAAGCGTGCTGGGCCCATAACCCAGAGGTCGGTGGATCGAAACCACTCGCTGCTAGTCTTTTTTTGCTTTTTTTATTCATTTCTTTTCGTACTTACAGGCCCGTGACATTATGCTTTTCAAGGTAGCTTTTATTGGAAATTTTTAGAAGATAAAATTCCCAAATTTTCACAAAAAAATAATGTTTAAAAAAATTATAAAAAAATGTTAAAATCTTTTTTGTTGAATTTTACATCAGATAAGATTTTTGAAGCATAAAGTTCCGCTCAGGGGGCTATAACGTGCTTCCTTTTTAGGAATTGAGTTTGATATCAAGTCAACCTAATTTGAGATCTCCTAAACAGTTTTCAATATTCATTAAGAGTTTATATACTGTTGAAATTAGATGAATTTATATTAACAATCACGGAATTTTTAAATTCCGATTTCTTTCGTCTTATTATTTTTTCCATTTACTTCTTCCATTGCAAAGCAATTCAAAACACAAAACATGTGAAAACTGAAGAATTCATTACAAATTTAAATTCTGAATAGATGTGAAATTATTCCAAAAATACTGAGGTCAAAAAAAGTTGTTTTCAAATATAATTAAACTCGAGCCTTCTAGACTGCGTTTTAAAAGGATAAGACCATTTCACTTTTTAACTTTTTGGGGAGGTGTCAAAAACTTGTGAAATCCAATTTTGGTTTTTTGGCAGTTCAATAAAGATAGGATGACCAATATCTTTTAGTTAATTTTTTTTTTTCTATCGAATATCGTGAACTCTATAAGTATTTCAACCACTATCCGAGTCATGAGCTACTAAACGAGAAAACAATTTTTGAAAAAAATTCGAAAAGTTGCTGAATCTCAGCTGCGGCGTATTTGAAAAACGCCCTAATTTTTAATTTTAAAAAAAACATAAAAACTATTGATTTGAAAACAAGGAGGCTTAAAGGGTCTCAAGTTTGACTCATGAATGTTTCATCGAGTTCTGAAAACTTTTATTATTAGACTAATGCTGTGAGATCAAATCAGAGAAAATTAAAAAGGACGGAGGGCGAAATTTCGAAAATTAATTGTGCTAAAGGAAGGATATCGGGAAGCAACACGATTATACAAGCCTACATAAATGGTTTGTGGAGGCGAATCAAATCGTGGCGCGGTTTTAGAGGCGGAGTTGAGAGAAGGCGTGGCTTTCTAGGCCCACTGTAGAAGCTCCATGGAAAAGTTTCTTTGTTAAAACCGTTGTAACTATTTTTCAAAATCTTGTTTACTTCATTTTAAGGGCTGAATCTTCATGTTATTTGCAATTGGAAAGAAAAGATGAAAAAAACCACATAAAAAAAACTTTTTTGGCAGTGAATTCTTATTATTTTTTTAAACTTCTCATCAATAAACTTAAAACCTTGCTATTTTTTTTGAGCCTTTTTCTGTGTTTTTTTCCCGCACTCGAAATCTCTTAATTTTTAACAAAATTAATTTTCTTTTTCCTTTTTTCCTATCCAACATGTATAATAAACGATCCAACATAAATCATCGATTCTTTCGAAACTTTCCTATTTATTTACAAAAATGCTGAAATATTTTCCTTCGCTAACTCAATTATGAGGGAAACTATGTTCCCACACACGTAGATATGATACTTCCAGAGGCATTGAATCATCATTTTTTTCCAATTTTTGGAAATATTTCCAATTGAAGATCTTTCTGGTTCTTATACATATTTTTTGTGAAGCCTGATGACTAAAGAGAAGTACATCTAGTCTCTAAATCGGAAAATCACGAAATTTGATAGAAAACCAAAAAGGATAAGGTTGAGGATGTCTTTTTCTCAAAAAAAAAAAAGAATCGTTTTTAAAGTCTGTTTTTTCCCTTCTAGAGGCACCATCAAGCGTTTGAGAAACAATGCCTCAAAGATCCTGCTTGAGAGCTCACTACAGGGGCCTCTTCACCGCTAGAAACTTATTTCAGTGGCATCTGGTTGAAGCTGGCAATTAAAAGGACATGACACCGGAAAAAGGTCAAGAGCCACCGCACTTGTTGTCGTGTTCTCCTGATTTGGGTTCTACTCGCCATACCAGCACATCTGGCTATAATTTCGATTGTCCCTTGAAGTTCCACCTATCTTTCCGTCACTAAAATAAAATTAGCAAGTTTAAAAAACAAAAAAACCTAGATGAAATATATTCTCACATACCGTGAAAAGCAATAAAGCTCCAAAAATTACTCAAAAAGAAAAATAGTAAAAAAGACTTGTTAGAAAACCATTTCGGCCAGTTTTACCCCAACGCACTTAAGGGGGCACTAAACGCTGTATGTATGCAGGGTTGAACCAAAAATTGTCGACCCACCTCTAAATGTTGCTTTACGTTTTCAGTCACTAGAAGGACCTCATCCTCAAAGATTTTAAACGTTTTTTGAAAATCCTTTCACGGAAAATTAAAATATTAACTTCCATTTTTTTCCCTTTCATCTTCCAAACTTCAGTTGAAACAAAATTCTAAAGATTATTTTAACTTATTAAAGATACCTTTTCTTTGTATTTTCTATTTGAAAAATAATTAAATTTTCACCATAAATATCCCTTCTATCCATTTGCCCAGCATCACCAACACCATGAGAAGCGCCAAAAATGAGGGCTCATTAGAGACGGCCGGATTACGGTAGGCCATCGGCGAAATTGCGCCCCTCGCACTCAACCCGATTAACATCGAATTTGTCGGCTGTGGTGGCGGCAAGAATTGTGACGGCTGGAAAAACGTTTTGGTTTGAGGAAATTTTTGGAAAATTTGAAAAAAAGAAATTTTTTTTGCTGAAAAGAGAGTAATTCAAAATAGACTTTTGTCGCGTTTAGTGTTAATTTGAAAAAAAAAAATTTCCCCTACTATGCAACCTAAGAAACCCAAAAATTAAATATCCGTTCAAAAAATTCATCTCAAAAATGGCTGGATACGTTTTTATGAGAAATTTATACATAGACACGAGAAATACTCACGAATTTACAGAAAAAGGTTGGTTAGTAAATTACTTGTTTTGTTAATTGAGATTTACGGAAGCGATGATGTCGCGGATTTCCGACGCCTTGTACAGCTTGTCGATGTCCTGAAAATCATGAAATCGACAAATAAAACACTGGGAAATACGAGAGAGTATATGAAAGATAAAGACATTCATAAAAATCCCTGCCAAATGCGACAAGTCGTGAAAACATCCATGAAAAATTGAAAAATTGTTTGGTAATTCTCAATTAATTTTTGAGGAAGAGCTCTAAACTCTGTTCACAAGAACTAGCATTACACTTGGTCGCCAGCGGCTGAGCTGAACCGCAACGCGACCGCGACGCGACCGCGACGCGACAAGCCATTCCAAATCGGGCCACTGATGAAAAATGAACCAATTTAGAGCTTCAATATAAAGTTCCTCAAGAAGTTTCTCAAGGCTAACGGCTCTCAACACCATTAAGAAGGAATAGAAGCGTCCTGGTCGCACTTGGAATGGCTCAGACCGCGACGCAATGAACCATTCCAAAAATCCCTACCGTCAAATCGCTGATATAAATCTTCGTCGGTTTCAACCTTCTCACACGTTTTTGGGACCCATTCACCGTTGAAATTTTATCCTTTGCAGATAATTCGAACAGTTTTTCGAGCTGCAAAGTTGAAATTTCATTTGTACTAAACTTCATGAAAACTTGTTCGAAAGTTGCGGAAATCTGGAAACCGAGCAAGGCGTCAATATCGTGGACCGTGCGGATAAACCTTTTCTTTCTCGATGACTCCTTTCTTCGCTTCTAAAACTTTTTTTTCAATTTTTCAATATTGGAATCATTTTCGTTTCGTAACAAACATCACGCCGAAAAAGCTGAAACAAATTATCCCAATATTACTTCGAAAATTCGCTTGAAAAGCCAAAAAATACCTTGGGCTGAGCCGACTCGTTGACCAGTTCTTGGGTTTTTCTCCGCGTTGCGTATCGCTTCGCACTCTTTTCGCTGCCCATCGGCGATGACGTCATCGCCTAATCAATAAACACTGATAAATAAACAAATTCCCTTTACATTGCGGATTTTCGTCGCAGCAGCGCCGTCGCCTTTCGGCACGGCTTTGAGGATCGGCGAGTTGGAGGTCTGGAAATTCGGGAAAAATCAAAGAATTTCAAGGCCAGAAGGATTTCTGGACAAGAGTGGATAGAAAAGATGCAGTTCTTAACGCTGATCCTGAATCTCAAATATCGTCGATGAGCTTTTAAATCGAAGTTTTGTACCAAGTTTGAAAAAAAAAAACTTTAACCAAACCTAGCTTCTTTTTTTGGAAAAAAAATTAATATTTTGTCGCCAATTTTTTAAAGATCTAAACCATCGGTTTTCTTTGATCACTAAGGGTCCTTCTACTATTCAAAAAACAATTCTCAATCGGGAAGACCGAATTTCGAATATTTGGATCATACAAAAATTTACAATTGTTGAGCCATATTTTTACATTCAAAATTCCTGTTCAAAAAATTAAAAACAAAAACCGCGTCCCTAAAACATTATCGACGGTAAAATAATATAATTAATAACAAATAAATAAAGAATTACCTCCCGAATGTCGGACTTGACGCTGACGTCGCCGACGCTCTTCTTTCTCCTGGCCATCGGACTTCCTTCTGGAACCGCGGCGACCGGCGGTCGGACTTCAGGCTGAGGCTTGACCTCCGTCTTGGGTCCACAAGAGGCGAAAGATGGGACGTTGGCGCCTGAATAAAGAAAATTGATGGCTTCAACACTCTACTGCTATTGCAAATGTTTCAAATATACTGATTAGCCGTTGGTCGCAACTATTTGAGTGTCTCTCTGTTCCCTCGCCGACGAGGCCAGAGAAACTATATGTTCACATAACAACCTGGCTCAGGAGGTCGGAAAATGCGTCGGATGGTTCTTTTTGGCTCCGGCTTCGGTTCTTCCTAAAAACTCGTTCTAAACTTTCAGAGACTGAACTCCGAACCGAAACTTGTGGCTTTTCAACCACCGGGATCTTCTTTTTCTTCAGATGTTTCTCAGCTTCGATCCGCGCGAATTCCCGTTCAGACTCAGCATCGCGTTGCGCTTTCCAGCGAGCTTTTTCCTCCTCGGCTTTTCTGAACATTCTTTATTCGAAAAGATGAATTGGAACGAAAATTCGAAGGTTATTTCCTAGGAATGTGGCCCCCATTTTCAGCCCATTTCTGACATGCACCTTTATTTGTTTTCTCCACAAACCCTCCCATATCGTTTATGTTGGTAACCAATGAACTATAATTATCATAACTATACTCAAGTTAAAGGAATATAGTCAAAATCGTCAATAACAGACCATGTCAAAATGAGTAATAACAACCAAAAAAAGTATAGTTTGCAAGAAATTAGAGAGAAAATCTTCATTTTTACCTTATGATCTCAGATTTAAAAAAAAACCAGTAAAGGCTCGAAAATTCAATCAAAACTGGTTTTTCAGAAATGAAGGTCATTCTATGCTAACTTGAAAAAATGCGGGTTATAATCAACGATTCCAAACTTTATTTAGGTCTGATCCTTTAAGAAACCCTACCACAACTCAAAATAATAAAGTCTGCTAACTTTCGTTTCTAAAATGAGTTTGAATCTTAACGGGGTTACTTAATAAACGCAAAACTATGTTTCGTTTCAGAGCTGTGCGCTGGCCGAAGTCTTTCAACGCGGTCGCAAAGCTTTCGAAACTTTTTGCCTTGGAATTTGGCCAACACGGCCGGTCAAAGCGCAGCCCTTTTTGATAAATATGATGTCATAGGTACCCAAAAGCTCCAGTGGCTTTCTGAACGACGTCGCGTCTTTTCTGCTCCATCGCACTGTTTTTGGCCTCGCTGGAGACGCTGGCGATGCCCTTCGACATTTCCTTCATCTGACTTTGTAGCTGATTCGAGCCACTTTTCATCTGCATCCGGATTTCTTCCATCTGAAGGAGAGAGTTATAAAAAAGTTTAGCGAATTCTAGTCATTGCATAAAGTTTACAGAGAAAGGAGGACCATGAAAATTGAATCGTCAATGAGTGGAGACGAGAGATCAGTCGCGGCCTGAAGAGACTGACAGAGAAAACGATTGTCTTGCATTCTTTGCCGTCTCTTCAGGTCGCTGTTGATATCTCGCCGCCTCCCATATTTTTCCGTTAAATTCAAATCGAACTTGTTTATCAAAGTCGTCGTTGAGGACGGGCTTGACGATCTCGTACTTTCTTCTCGGCTTTTCCTCGTCTTTTGCCACCAAACGCGAAGATCTTTTGTACCTTCAATATATCTTTTATACTCAACATTATGAAAAAATAGAAATCGTCCAAACTTTCAGAAAAAAACGAACAAAATGGGTTCCTCCGTTTTAACAGGTTCTTTAAATCGGTCAGCCAAAGCGGTAACTGTTCCAAATCGTCGAGCTTTTTGTGCCGCTGCTTTCTAAAAAGAACATAGTTCAACTTATGATAACTGCTTTCTCGAGAACCACTGAAAAAGGAAGCGCAAAAAACCTAGTTTTTTTTTTCTGCGAACTAAATGTACTCCAGAGTGTTACAAATAACAGTCATAAAAACTCCAAAATGCTTTGGGAGGATTAAACTCCATACAAGAAAGTTGTGGTGAAAAAAGGGTTTTTCCTATATTTTCTCACAGTCTTTCCTGTTTGAAGTTTGTGAAATTAAATGTTTACAACTTTGTAAAATCAAAGTTGATGACAGAACTTTCAAAACTAAATAAGAATAACAGAAAAGCTTTCAAAATAAAGTTATTGGGAGCAAAATAATAAAAATGAGAAAAGAACGAGACGGTCGAGTAACTTTTTCGCGGGAACTCGAGTTTTTGATCTTGAATTCTCGATTATTTTTTGACAGTTTTTCTTATTAAAACTTTTCATTTTTGTGCTTCACACCTTTTTGACTCTACAAGTCATGAATTTCATCGAATTACTTTCTTGTGGCTGAGAGAGACCTTGAAGTTATAAAATAAGCAATTTTCTGATTATTTAAAAATTAAATAGTCGCCCCATTTTTTGAAATTTTCATTTGCAAGTCGAAAAACTTGTTATTTTTACTGTTCATAATTTTCAGAGGCTTCATATCTTGAAATTCATCAAACTCCCTAAATCTTGTGGCTTAGTAGGACTTGTAAGGTTTTTTTAAAAATTATTATTTGAAAATGAATCTTTTCATCCTTTTATATCTTAACTTTTTTCGATTTTCATTGTTTTTATATAAATGAAATACCTTGAATGAACCCCTCATTTTATAATTTTTCACCTCATCAGCCGCTGCTTTTTTCTTCGCATCCTCGTCTTTCATGTTCAGCGCCGATTTCCTCACCGCACTTTTGTCTTCCATTTCCTGCACATGAAACAATTCAACATCTCTTTTTCGAAATCTGTCAACCACTTTATTTGCGGCAACTGAGGTCTTAGGAGGCGATTCAGCTTTTTCTTCCACTTTTTCCACCTTCGGTGGTTTTGGAGCTCTAAAATATATTATTTTCATCAGTTTATCAATTGAAACCAACTCGGCGAGTTTAGTTTCCACTTTGGCCACTTTGACTTTCTCCAATTTCGGCCCTTGGATCACGGCCTTCTTGGCAAAGTCAGTCGAAGGTTTTTTTGTCGGCGAATCGGCTGGTTTGCTCCTAAAATGAATAAAATAATTATATTTTTGCAAATTGTTGAAAAAAATACCTCTTTGACATTGACAGTAGTCTCCCGTACAAAAAGTTGGCACCACATTAAAAACTTTTGGTTCCCTGAATTTGAACCAAATGGTGCAAGAATACAATATAAACATTATAAATTTTAAAGAATAAGTTGATGTTAACAAATGGGTGCTAGAAAAAACTAGAGGCTCAGGGATGCTGTAGAGAATTTCAAAGCAAGACAAAAAAACCCCCAGATTCTTAACTTATAAAACTAAATCTTGTCGCTTTTTTCCAGCAAAACTGTATCCCGGATCCGAACGCGTAACCATCTTCTCATCACCAAGCCTTCTAGCCACTCTACCATGTCATTCTCGACATCCATGACGTCCAGGGCCAATAACTCCTCGTCTGGCAACTCGCCAACCATCGCCTCTTCGACGTGCTCTTCTACGGGGTCCAGCATGTGCGGAATCAACGTTTTATGGACCTTAATTTTCGAATTTTCTCCTGAAATTACTTTTTCTTTTCAAACTCTGACGGGTAGATCTTCAAGCTGTGACATACATGAGTGCATGGCGTCGTCCTAAAAATCAAAATATGAATGTTTGGTTTTTCGTTCAAAATCCAACATCAGAATCGGATTCGGCGACCTCTGTAGCAATACTGTGGCTGATTGAGAAGCTTACAGGTGAGGGTGACTAAAAATCATCTTTTTTTTTTCATACAATAGCAATGAGATCAACTTTTTCCATGACAGTGACCAACTGACTGTCGTCGTCAAACTCCTCAACTTCCTCGTCAACTTCTTCGTCGTACTCCTCTTCGTACTCCTCATATACGTCTTCATCCTCGTACTCTTCTTCCTCTTCTTCCTCGTCTTCCCAGTATTCTTCGTCAGAGTACTAAAAAAAACGAGCTTGAGCTCCGTATGTGCACGAGTGTGTATGCGGCAGAAAGGTGTGACATCTTGGACCTCTAGAACAAGAACCTGAGCATTTCTAGTGGTGCCTTCAGCGGCGTCAGCACTCTCAAGCAAATACTTAAAATTCTCAGAAAATTCCACGACACGTCCGTTTCACGTTACAGAGGTTCGAAGTACAAGAGATTTGTAAAATAAGAAATAATATCAAATTTGAACCTCAGAGAAAAAAACTGACTTCAAACTAGGAAGGCTCAGGAGTAGATGATCGCAGCCTTTTGGAAAGGTTTGCCTATGTATGTAGGACTTTAAAAAAATTGGGACAAGAAAAAGTTCTAGCGTATAGAAAAAAGAAAGAGAGGATTTTAAAAAATTGATTTTAGAGAAAAACCCAATTTCTACTTTAAAAACTTTCAGATTGTCCAAGAGAGTAGAAATTTACGTTTTCGATAAACTTTGAAGCTAGTCCTCCGATTACTTTGAATTTTGTATCAAGAATATAAAAAAAAGAGGAGCTCAGTGCAAATAATTTGCAAAAACTTGAAAGGATTCAGCCCGTTATAAGCCAGCTTCTTATACTTTTTATCATCCTTCGAGCTGCAGAACCCTTCCATTCGAAGCGCGCGGCCTGTCTCTCTGCATGCGCCTTTAACTTGGCCTAAAACTTGAGTTATTTTGAACTCGCATGACTGGCCGCGTGCATAGAAAGAAAGCTTTTCGGAAGGACTCTGAAGCTCGGAAGAATATGAATTCCTCGTCTTCTTCGTCACTATCCCGGAAGGCGGCCTTATCGACCAGCTTCATCGTGAAACCGACTTCCACATTGTCCCGATACGTCTGGCCGTCGTATTCCTGTATTAAATTTTTATGTTTTCAACAGCTCTCAACTTTTTCTTTGCAGCTAGCTTGAAAAATAGTTCGATAACCACCTCATCACTGGTCAAACAAGTCGGACTCTGGTAAGCGCCAAGAGAAGAAGAACCAGGTCTGGCGATAGGCAAAACTGCAACAAAAAAGAATCAACAAAATTGCAAAAATCAATGAATACTTGACATTTTCTCTTTTCATTTAATTTCAAAAAGTTTTAAAAAAAACTACTAGATCGGTTGTGAAAAACGGATGAGAGATCCAGTTACCAGAGAGACCAGACGGCAACAGCTTCTTCAAGCTGTCGTTGATCTTTCTGCTTTTTTTTTTCTGTCATTTTGGCACCTTTGTAATCGTCGACGTCTTCGTACTCCTCCTCATCTTCGTCGTCCTCGATGCTGTGCACCTCATCAGAGCCCCAGGAAGTCTGACCATCGTAGGAGACGCTGCAGGTGAACGTCGGCGGTGGGTTCGCGAACAAACTATCCACTCTTCCACGACTTTCTTCTTTCCTTGAATGAATCATTTTCCGGTTAATCTAGAGTACATAAGGATCATATATTCCCAAACCGTTTCTCATGATTTTTTTTTTTAATTTACAGAGAAATATCTAAAAGCTCTTTTTCTCAGAGTAGTAGCTTCATTTTTTTTCCGTGGATACTGTGATATCGACAGAACTTTGCGACATTTAGAATGAAAAATCTTGATCACAAAGTGCGTCGCGTCTTTTGGTGCTTTGCCTAAAGCTGCTCCCGACTCTGAGCAATATTCTCCGAATGCTACAAGATGCTGTCGCGCGCAAGTAATTTCTAGTCAGCTGCACTAAAATGACCGCGGCGGCTAAAGTGACTTTTTCGCGAAAAACTACTTTCTGCTCTGATAGACAGGTTGAAAAAAGAAATAAAAATCACATTTCTTCCGTGAGGAAAGTCTCGCCGCCAAAATCAGAAACTCTCGCCGAGCTCGTCGAAGACGACGGAACGATCGGGAAAAGATCTCCTGAATTTTCCCTTTCACAATGAGAAAAGCTTCAAAACTACCAAGCGGCATATGATCCTTCAAGCTGAATGTTTGCGACACAGAAAATTCACAGTCCGACGCATCTGAATATTATCAACTTCAGAATGAAAATGAAGACGTCTTCATACATTCTTCCTCGTCCTCATCTTCGGCCTCGGTCCATTCTCCGCTCGAATATTCTTCTTCTTCCTCGTCGACGTCTTCATCTTCCCCTTCTTCTTCATTCTTGAGATGTCCGTTCCAAAGGCAAATACTGACAGAAGCCGCGTCAGGAGTCGTACAGAGAGGAGTATTCGGGTTGGAAGGTTCTGTGACCAGGAGAAGCGGGACGATGAGTGGGCGGAGAGTCTGGAAATAATTTATTGGGGTACGGTACGCTGAAAGACCCCAGCAGAGTAATTATACAGGAGTAATTATACTCAATAGTGCTCATATAAACGGTTTTCCGAAGCCTCTCAAGATCCGAAACTTTTCGATTTTGCAGTTGAAAATGTTCAAAAAAAAAAAACGATATGCTGGATGCCTACGTATAGTGGTAAGTGTTCTTCGTTGCACCGACTGTTTATTCATTGCTCATTTGAGCCAGTCTACAAGCGTTTCGACAGGCTTTTAGAGCCTGAAACGAGTCGAAATTCGTTAAAAATTGATAAGGGCATTCTTAAAGCGTGCATTATCGGTTAGAGCGCCCTGTTTTTGAATATTTCCTATTTTAATCAATCTAAAAGCTTTCTGGAATTTCTAAAAGGCTGAAACAAGTTCCAGTGACTCCAAAATGATTGCGGCATGCGTGAAATCCGAAATGTTGATCGCAGCCTTCTACCGAGCAAGATAATGATGAGCTTCTAATAAGCTTCTATGAGCGATTTTCAAAAGGTTACGGTATTCAAAGCATCTGTACTTCTGGTTTGACAAGTTACCAACATTAGCTTTGCTTTTCTCAGATGCATCAGAAGGCATCACTGGCTCAGTTGCAGGAGATTCCATCTTCTTGGCCAAAGTCAGTGACGTCTTCAGGTTTTCGAGGGTGCGTGTCGGGTCGCGTCGCTTCCGCCGACCTCAAGAACCTTTCATAGGTAAAAAATGAAGAAGAAGCACGAAGAAAAGAAAAAAAGGGCTTTGAATAATCTATAAAAATTCGAAATAAATCTCAAGCCTACAACTCATGATATCTTCGTAATGCTCTTCCTTGATAATCTAGTAGCCCTTTCATAACGTTTAATAGGTAGAAGATCCTTATAATTTTTTGCTTCAAATTAAACAGAGTCCGAATTTAGAGTCTCAATAAACTCATAGCAATGGTCCCTTGGGTGCTTTGCTCAGACTTTACCCTACAATTTTCACTAATTTTTGTATAAATCAACTAAATCAAACTAGGATTCATAATTGCACATTTTAAACGAAGATGAAAGCTAAAACTTTGTTTAGATCTTCAATTTAAAACTCTCTAAAGTTCCTAGAAGTTGCTCGAATGAACCGAAAAGCGAGGAACGTAAAAATAATAGTACAAGGTTCCAGGACCCACGAACACATCACACATGTGCGTGTGTGGCCGAAGAAAAAGTATCCAACAACAAAAAAAAAGAAGAAAACCTTTGATGTCGTCGTCTGCCGCCTCCGACTTGGCACGCTCTTTCCGATCATCGTCAAAGCCGAGCTGTGCCGTCGGCGGCTCAGCTGACCTTCTCTCTACAACTCGATCGTTCAATTTTTTATCACTTTGGCTTCCCGAGTTTATGGCTGAACTATTGAGTCTAAGTGGCTGCACTTTTCGCGCTCCAAAGCTAATTTGAGAGGCTATGAAGTTTGGCGCATCGCTTCAAAGGCAAAATTTGAAATTAGAAAGGTTGAAATTCAAAATTAAACATTTCAATTCCAACCTTTCCAAAAGCCTAAAAAACTTTCAGAAGACAATTCTTTCATTCTCTGCATATTTTTATTTCTCAAATTTGAATGTTCAAAAATAAGAACGCACCAATCGCGCTCTGAGTCATCATCGAAGAGCCTTCCGAAGCCTAAAAAGAAAAGGAAAGTCAATTTTCTTCCCATTTTCTTCAAAAACCTCCAACTCCTCGAGCTTCATTCTCTCATTGATCGCGTTGACATCGATGGTGAGCTCGGGTTTCACTTTTTTCTTCGAAGTCGAGCTGTTTTTGCGCTCTAACGAACTATCCCTTCTTTTGATTGAAATTTTCACTGGGGCATTTGAGGGAGAAGTTGGTTCGGATGAACTTTGGCTGACGGGAATTCCGTTGATTTTTATGGAAGAAACGACGCGAGAAATTGCTTCAGAAGACGTGGAAGCAACTTCAGAAGCTTCAAAAGGTGCTTTTTGAATAGATTCTGGCAGCGCTTCTTCAGAAGGCTTTTCTGGATTTTTCTCCGTCGTCTTAATGGTGACTTCGACTCTCGGAACAGCTACGGGCGTCTGAGATAAAAAATAAATTCAAAACTTCAACTTGAATGAGTCACATCGCGACCGCGACGCACATAGCCTTTTTGTTAAATCTCCCAAAAAAAAAATCAAGAAGACTTTCTCAAAAAATACGAATCTCTACGGAGCTTGTATAATACAATTATACCATTCACGCTTTTGGGAATTTTAAGGTTGCTGACGTTCAATGTTCGAATTTTTATCGAGACATAACTTACATCAACTTCAACGCTCTTTTTTTCGATCGCTTCGGAAAGTTTAGCCGTCAAAGATTCTCGCCTCAACATCCTATCCATAGCTGAAGTCGCTTTTGCCGTGCACCGGCCTTCGATTATTGCTAGAAAACTCCGAGATTAACTTTTCCAAAATTCATCCACGTTACAGGGTTTTTTTTTTCAAAGTTAGTGATGAAAGTTCATAGAAGCTCCTAGTGAAACCACAAATAATTCCAGAAATTAACTACTTTGCTCACATATAACAACGAAAGGACCGTATATGGTATAAAACGTTTTTTTGAATGTTCCAAAATTTTTTGGATCCTGAATTCAAAAAAAATAAAAGAAAACTCAGTTGAAAATTCTTGAGTTTGTCCGAAAAGTTATCTATATAAAGAAATAAAAAAACGGACCCGGAGTCATCTCAATATCTTTGTATTTCTCCATGAACTCCTCTTTGGGCGTCATCGGAACTTCTTCTTTCTCTTCGATCTTTTCCACCGCCTTCAGTCCGTCCATTCGGATCATCAGTTTCTCTTTTTTCTTGCAGTCGATTTGAACGTTATAATTGACTTCCGGTCTTTTTATCCTGGCTTCGAAATTGAACTCTTCAGTTGACAGCTCTTTCTTTTCATTTTTTTGGGATCTGGAAAGAATTTTATCTTCAGATTACTGTAAAAATACTTTTGAAAAAAATGTCTTCGTAAGGGTTAAAACTGAAAAAATTTTTCAAAGTACAAATGAAATTCTAGAAACTTGAAGCAAAACAAATGCTAGAAACTTATGAATGGCGCCCCTAATTTCTCCGAGAATCTTTTCCTGACGTCGGAACTCGAATTATGACGTCATTAAGCGTACAGTAAGCTTCTAAAGCTTGTGGACGCTAAGAGAAGGATACACAAGCTTCAAAAGGTAAATATAGACGTGTGAAAGCTTTGAAAAATATGTATATCCCATAAGAACCTTGCCTTAATGAAGTCACAACTTTCGAAGTGACGTCACCAACCTTTAGGAGAAGCGCTCCTTTTCGGGTCAAGCTTAACATTGCGGACGACTGACGTAGGCCTTTCAGGGCTGACAGAACCCTCGGCCACGCACACTTTTCCAAGATTTTTCCTGGTGACCATCGGCGAGCACAGTGGTGTCGCACTTGGCGACGGCTTTGGCGTGATAGAGGAGGCGGAGCTTGCCTGAGATCAGCTAAGATGAGCGACATGGGGCGGAGCTACCCTTCTTAGTTTGTTGTAGAGCTTGCCGACGTCATCGTCTTCTGCCTCGCTTTTCGAAGAGGAAGGCTTGGTTGAGAATTCGTCTGCAAAGTAAGAGTATGAAGGAAGAGGAGAATCAGAAACTCTCTATGTCTGACTTTCTTTATTTTGAACACTCTCTAGCACCTAACCATTTGAATGAGTCGAAAAATCTTCGTCCGATTCGACATAACGTTTGTAGAGTTTCTGGAAGGTCGCTTCAACTTGGTCTTCCTAAATTGGAAAATTTTTTGAAGAGAGGTTTTAAAATTAACCTCAGGCTCGACGGATGGCGTCTTTTCAAACCGACTCATGGATTTGTACTCACGATCAAATCTGGAGGTTCTTGGACGACTGGATTCGCTGGAGAAAAAAATTTTTTTGGAATGATTTCGATTAAGAAATTGACAGATGCGCAGAATGAGAAAAAAAAAACCACTAAATCCACCGAAAAATGTCCCTTGAACTTATGAAACGGATCCCAGGGCTTTAAATTATGAAACCTTTGATTCTGCACCTTTTTTTGTGAATCTCACAAACCTGGTCCAAACTCCTAAGATAGATAATCCCAGGTATGAATACTCAGAAACGAAAAGAGATATCTGTTAAGCACGTTAGGGTAGCGTGAGAAAAAACTCGGTAGAGAATGTGAGAGACGCTCGAAAACTGTCTCTAATTGAAGTTTTTGAAAAAAAAAGTCCATGTTGCTTGTTCGAGGATCATTCAGTGCAATTGTTCCCGGAGCAAACCCCCCCGATAAAACCCAACTTTCGAAAAAAACGACTCTTCCTCCGCCGAACCTCGTATAACTCGGCGTCTTGGATCGGTAGTCAAAAAGTGACTCGGTTGCTGGTCGGCGTCGACGAGGCCGATGAGGTGTTCGACCTGAGAAAAAAATAACATTTATAGAAAGATTAATAAATATTCAAACCTTGAATAAGACGACTGATATCTCGAACCTACGTCGGAAGTCGTGGATTCGGCACGATACTTGGAGAGGGCCGAAGAGTAGCCCCTAAAGTTATCTTCCTTTCGTGGTTTAAAGTTTTGCCACTCTCTGCGCACTTACTCCTTTTCACGCTATTTTTTATTTCTATCAACTTCGCGGCGATTGAAAAGAGAGCGGAGGAAGGCCTTACTGTTTCAAAGCGAGACGAAACGGACACACATTATTTGATGGAGTCCATTTTTTTGAAATTTTTTTCAAAAAATTTTTTTCGGCTCAAACCGACGTTCTATGAGGAACAAAACCGAAAAAGAATACATAAAAAATTGAAACAAAAAATTAAATTAAATTGCGATATATTTCTAAAGCCGCAAAAATGCGTGCGAAGTTATAACGTGTCTACGGACTGTTTGCGAAAAAATCGATGCTTTTTAACGAACTTTTCCGAACTTTTTTTTCGTAACATTGCTGATATTACAAAAAAGCAACTGACGAAGTTCCGGCAGAATCCGTCGGACGATATCGCGAAAATCCGACGGTGGTCAGGTCTCTTTGGCTGCCGCTCCGCGCGCTGGACAGCTCGCCGCTGAATCCTGCAGAACATCTGGATTTTCCCAAGTTTATGACCACAATGATCATTTGCCGTTGGTAAGAGTTATGCTCTTCTCGAAAAAAAATTACACAGATTGGAATGATACTCGAGAAGTTAAAGGAACATTGACAACTTATTTTTGAGGTTTCGAAGCGAAGAGCCGTTTCCAGTCTAACTTCGAGCCACAGAAAATCTTTAAACAAACCAACAAGTAAATTTTTAAAAAACTAGCTTAAATCGAGGCTTTTTTAACATTTTTTATAAAAAAATTCAGAAACTCACCAACACCGACACTACCAGCCCTTCTAGGTGAGTTGTAAGAGGTTGAAGTTGAAGAAGTAGCGGGACTACGGTAGCTTGATGATGAGGTACTATAGGGACTTTTGTAGGTCGATGATGAAGATGAAAGTTGCTCCGTACTACCGTATCTTCAAAAATTCACCTATTTTCGTTGCAAGACACGTTAGTTCTTATGAAGCTTGGAAGCTTATTCAAGCATTTTCTTTATTTGAACTCGTTGGAATGGCGCGAAGCTTTTAAAAACGCGTTTGAATGGCTCAAAGTTTGAAATGCGCCCGACTTAAAACGACTTTGGGCGGAGATAAGAAAAAAACAGAAGCTTGAGCGATTCCCAATGCGACCAAGCAGTAACAAAATATAAATCAAATATATCACTCGAAGCGAAATTTACGAAAAGTTCAAAAACCTTCATGAGAATATTGCTAACCGGTTGCTCAAGGTTTTATAGTCACTATTGTAGGAAGACGACATTCCGGAACGGCCATAAGGCGACGGGAAATTATTGGGCATGGCGACTCGCGTTTTCCCACTGGCAAATGGATCATACGAAGTGGCTCGCGAGAAACGGGATGCCGTTGTTGAATTTGATTGAGGAGCCTGAAAATAAAGGAAAGTCATGGAAATATTTTTTTGAACAAAAGTGAGATAAAATGAAAAAGTAAATGAAGAAGTGAAAATTTTCGGATCTTTTGAGCTTCTCTCATTTTTTTCATAGAGCTTGTAGTTTCTATCTTAACAGCACGATAACAGCTCTCTTTTAATATTAAAAAAACAGGAATTCAAAAATTCAAAAATCGTCCAACAAGTCCGATAAAATCAACAAGATTCCTAAAAAATAAAATAAAACCTTCGATATATTATAAAATTATGTAACATATAACATTAAAAAAATGAAAATTTTATACAAAAATAAAGAAGTGGATCTATAAGTTCGAAAAACAATTAAGTTCTCCATTTCTCTTCTCTGTTGAGCCAGAAAGTAGTAAGTCAGTGGATAGGAAATATCATAGGTAACTCGAACGCGGAACGGATGGGTAAAGCAATGGGGTTTGGAGGAAGTGTTTATCGTTGAAAAGAGCTGGAGGAGCCGGCCAGCCGACTATGCAGTAACAACTCATCAGCGATTTTTCCGCCAATCATTTTTGATGGCTCTTTTTCAACCCCATTTTTCAAGTTCCATTACTCTGAACGTGTTTTCTGAAGTTGAAAACAAAAAAAATTTTTTTATTGAAAAAATAACATTTTTTTCCCCGCCAAAGTTTGAAATCTTCACCTCGACGCACAGTTGCACACTTGCGGCTTTTGCGCGTCGAATACGTTTCCGTTTTATAAAGTTTTATAAAACGCGCGTGTATAATTAGTTTTCGTTCCTCTTTTTTTGTGAACATTACCTCGTGAGAATGATAATAAAAGTGAAGAAGAGACTGGAACCAATTTTGAAATCCCATAAAACTCGTGCCCGTTAAAATACGTTTCGAAAAAAACGGAGGACGTCAGTTGGCTGACCGCAAAACGCTTTACACACTTTGTGGCGGCAATTTTTTTTTTTACTTTTTTTTGGTTCCTTTATTAGATTTTTCAGCTTTTTTTTCAGTTTTTTTTTAAATTTTAGAAGTGATATGAGTGATAATTTTATTCATAGCAAAGTTTTTAGCAGATTAACTCATCAATTGACATTCATAAACAAGTTTTACTGATTTTTTTTTTCAGAAAGATAAAGTACTTTAATAATTTTTATTGTAATATCTGACGTGAGGCGCCAAAAGATCGCCACAATTCTTTATCTGGCAAACTTCGTTGTTAACTATCTGCGAGAAAACCTCGAGAGGTCATAGAAAGAGTTGTGGCGATCATTTGGCGGCCCATGTCAGAGATTTAATTATTTAGTTTTACTGACCCGATCTCTCTCTCTACCGTAAGCTGTACGGTAGGGCGCAGGTTCTCTTGAAGCGCTTCGGCGGTCGACGCTACCGCTTCGCGCACGTGTGCTTCCACTGTACATCCTGCAAGATTTTTTTTTTTTCAATATGTCTCATAGATGTTCCCAGAGAAAAAATACCTAAGAAAAAAGAAAAATGATAATGAAAAACTAAAAAAAATCCTGATAGATTTGTTTGAAAAAAAAGGTAGAACTTAAAAAGAATTCTTGATAAAAAAAAACATAGAAGACTGGTGGTTTTTATCTATCCCTTCGTTTTCCAAAGATTTGAAGATTTCTGCAATAGTAACAAATGAAAATGCAGAAATAATACGATTCATAGTTTTGATTTCTTTTTGAGAAACATATGCATCCTTGAATAGAAAGAAATTTTTTTCTTTTTTTATTAAAATGAAAGTTAAAACTAACTCTAGCAAAAAGCCTAAAAAAATTAAAAACAAAGTGGAAAACAGAAAAATTTGTCACTGAAATGGGAGATATAACATTGAAACCTTTGTTTTGCTCTTTTTTCCTGAGAAAACTCGAAAATCAATAAAGCTAAGATAAAAAAGCGATGAAAAGTGCAGTGAAACGGCGTCGGTTGCTCCGAGATTGTATAGACGATTGTTGCGTTCCTTGGAGGCTGCGATGGCCATTACAACTACGCACGGACAACTGTCGTCCCGATTGAACCTTTATACTTAACTAGAACTTCTTTTTCCGTATTTTCATGTCTTTTCAACGATTTTCAAGGTTTTTCTTTTTTTCTGGGTATTAATAGAAAGCTGAACAGAATTCGTCGTTTAAAAAAAGCCTTGCCCCTGAAACTCCCAACGGAACCTTCATGCTTAACTGGAAGGTCTTCCCTCATTTTCCGTCTTTTTATGTCTTTTTAACGGTTTTCAAAAGCGTTTTGATGTTTTTCTCCTACTATTTTTTGATATTATAAATCTGAATCTTGTGCCCTAATTATTTGTGAGTAAACATTTGTAGCAAAATGCTGATTAAAAACATTTCGGACCATAATTTTTTTCCAAGGCTTTTTCGCTTTTTGACATGTTTTTCTAAAACTTTGTAAACAATATCTAGCGAGGATACTTTTTCAAAAAATATTCAAGTTCAAGTTTGAACCTAGGTCCTAGGACCTCAATTTTGAAAAAAATCAGTTGAAATTTTTATTTGCTCATCTCGTTTTTTATCCAATTTTCGTTGGAAATATATTTTTTTTCTATAGGTTTTCAGCCATCGTTTCGAGTCAAAGCCCAACTTACACGGGATTTCATTTTTCCTTCGATTTGGATTTTCCTTAAAAATTTGCTCAAAATCGGAAATCTCAAAAAAGTTTTGGTGGAGATCCATCAACATCGCAACCAAAAAAATTAATTTTTCTAAATAAATAGTTTGGAATTTCGAAAAGTAAAGCACATATTCAGCGTTTTCGAGAAATCGTATTTCGAAAACTAGAAGTCGGACCAGGTAGCGAGTATGAGGAATCTTTATCTTGACCATCGAATTTGTAAAAAAAATCCGAACCACATAGTAAAATGACCTCCCTTGTAAGGAAAGTTGGTAGAAGGTGTGCCAAACAAATCCGGTCATCATCATCCAAAAAACTGTCGATCGACGAGTGTTTGCACTGTCTCGCGCTCGCAGCGGGGCTCTGGTCAGCTTCACGTCGATTTCCTCTTTCTTTATCCAACTTTTCTCCCTTTTCGGTCTAGTAAAACTATTATCCACACATTTCGTAGAGAAAGACGCGTTTGGAAGCTCTCTTCGAAAACTTATAGGAATCGAAAAACGAGAAGTAAGTTTTTAGAAATTAGAAACGAAGACTATCTAACTTTTTTTTGTAGAGAAGATCCTAAATCACGTTTTCCTGTCTAGCCTTTCTAAAAATACATCACTTAAAGATGACTTGCTTTCAAAACTTCCAAAAATTTTAAATTTTCTGGAAACGGAAATCTCAGCGTTCTCAAGATGTCGCTAACAAGGGAGGTTTTTTTAAATTTGTGTTTGAGAATTTTTCTGAAGTTTGGCGAGAAAAATCTTGATGTATGAGAAAAAAATGCAAAAATGTTTTTTTTGAGAAAGGGCGCCTCAAAGTCAAAGGAACTTCCCAAAATTCGTTGAAAAAGGCCATTTTTTGCCCCCATTTGCAGAAAATTTTCAACTGCAAATCAAAATTATCTCTCCTGGAAAGCTTGATATCCAAGGATATTTAGCCGAAAAATGAAGCTGCCAAACTCTTTCAATACTTTTCTGTGATTAATGAAAAAAATGTATGGGATTATTGGCACTTTTCCAAGAAGTCCAAGAAGCCATGAATTTGAACTGTTCATTGAGATTGAGCCGATAAAAGAAAGCTCTAAAATTTTTACGATTATTTTCCCGAAATCCCTCATAATTCAGAAAAAGAAGTTAGCTATTCAGAAACTTAGAATCAAAGAACAGTGGAAGAAGTTCTCTTTGAATTTCACAGACACTTCATTAGGAGATCCTTCATAATAATTCATCTAATAAATGTCTTGTGATCCATATGAAATTGTATATTGCTTCAAGTGCAAGATAAAGACGAATACACTTGATGTTTCACACGTATTAACAAAGAACAACAGATCAATGATAAAGGGAAATTGTGAAGTTTGTCATACAACAAAGTGTAAATTCCTTGGAACTTCCAAAGAAGTGAAAAACGGTGGTTCACTGAATTCCAAAGATTCAAAGGAAAACAAGGTTTCAAAGGTAAGCAATAAAGATTCGAAAGTGAAAGAGATCCTAGAAAAAGCTTATTACTCTCCAAAAACAGGATTTTGTGGTATCAATGAATTGCAAAGAAAAACAAAATTGCCAATCAAGGAAGTTCAAGAATTCTTGAATCAGCAAGATGTCTACACTCTTCACAAACCAGCAAGGAAGAATTTCAAGAGTCAAAGAGTTTACGTTTGTGGAATAGATGATCAATGGCAATCTGATTTAGTAGAAATGATTCCTTATGCCTCGGAGAATAATGATTTCAAGTATCTCTTGACCATCATTGATTGTTTTAGTAAGTATGCATGGGTTGTTCCTCTTAAAAGTAAAACAGGCAAAGAAACTGCAGATGCTTTGGAATCTATCTTCACAAAAAGTAAAAGGAGGCCACAAAAGATGCAGACTGATAATGGTAAGGAGTATTATAATAAAGAAATGAATAAATTATTCAAATCTTTTAGAAATCAATCACTTTTTCAACTTATTCAGATAAAAAAAGCTTCAATAGTTGAAAGGTTTAATAGAACTTTGAAAGAGAAAAATGTGGAAGATGTTTACTTTGAAAGGAAATCACCATTGGTTAGATATTCTTGATGATCTTGTAGAAGGTTATAATAATCATTATCACTCTAGTATAAAAATGACTCCCACACAGGCTTCAAAAATAGAAAATGAAAGCATAGTTTACTCAAATCTTTTTACTCAAGATAACAAAGAAAAACAAAATGAGTTAGAAAATGATGATAAAGTGAAATTGATGAGCATAGCGAACAAAGCGAAATTCAAAGTCGATGATACTGTTAGAATTACTAAATATAAAGCTATCTTTGATAAAGGATATCTACCAAATTGGAGCACCGAACAATTCAAGATTGCTAAAGTTCTAATCGGTGATCCAACAATGTACGAACTAAAAGATCTTGCAGATGAAGAAATTAAAGGAAAGTTTTACTCTGAGGAACTTACACTATATGATAATATAAGTGGAGAATATAAAATTGAAAAAATCTTGAAGAAAAGAACTAAAAATGCTACAAAAGAAGTATTTGTCAAGTGGTATGGATATCCAGATAAATTTAATTCTTGGATTCCTGAGGAAGATTTAAAATCTTAAATACCATTGAATCTAAATGCTAATAACCTTAACTCTATTATCCTTGACTTCTACAATGTTTTCACTTAGAATCAATGAATAACATTTAGTACTTTGAGGAATGTTTTTACCAAAGGAAGCTTTTATTGCAACATCTGGTCTACTCGAGATAATTCTATCATTCTGTTTTGATACATCAAATACTAAAAGTGGATAATAGTAATAATAAACATCTTCTTCCATAAAAATGTAATCCTTGATACTTTCATAATAACTATTTCTGAATTCTTTAGCAAAATTGTATTGTTGAACTGCATTAAATTTATCGAAGTCGAATTTTAAGCATTCATATGGATATCTTTCACTATTGAGTTCAACGTAGATTTCTTCAAGCCCACAATTATCGAATTTAGCAGCATTTTGATAATTATTGTCTCTAGCAGTCTGAAATGCTATGACGATGTATTTTTATTTTATCATATTTTTGTTCCTAGTTTCCAAGTAAATTCTCTATTACCATTGGGAATATTATAACTTTCGAATTGTCTAGAAATAAAAAGGCATCTGAACTAATTTATTACTTTCAAATAAGTTCAGTAGCTTATTCTGCATTTCTAGACTAGGCATAATTTTAGGAATTATCCATTGAAGTTTATTAATAGTCATCTTAGCAGTAAATTTAGTAGGATCACTGGAAGTAATAGAATTCTTGTTTTCTGGAGATCTGTAAAGTGAAAGAGTGTGTTTTCTTCCGTAAAGAATGCGAGTATAACAC